ACCTCGATTATCATATGCAGACGACCTCAAAATATTTTTACGAATTTGCTCGATCGCTGACTGCCACAATCTTCAACATCAGCTTAATGTCTTCGCCAGTTGGTGTACTTTAAATCGAATGGTAGTGAACCCAGCAAAGTGCTCTGCCATAACGTTCTCACGAAAAAAGCAACCGATTGTATTCAGCTATGACCTGCTTGGAACGATACTCGAACGCGTGAATCAGGTGAAAGACCTGGGTGTGGTGTTGGATTCACAGCTAACATTCAGGCAACACATTTCTTATGTCATCGATAAGTCGTCTAGGACTTTAGGATTCATCTTCAGGATAGCTAAGAATTTCACCGATGTCTACTGCTTAAAATCTCTTTACTGCTCCCTCGTACGATCGACGCTTGAGTATTGTTCTGCGGTTTGGAATCCGAATTACAACAATGGTGCCGAGCGAATCGAATCTGTTCAACGTCGCTTTCGTTTTGCGCTTCGTAGACTGCCCTGGAGAGATGCGCTTCGGCTGCCCAGCTACGAGAGTCGCTGCCAACTGATAAACCTTGAACCTCTCCGGATTAGAAGGGACACCAGCAGAGCTTTGATTATCTCCGACACTCTACAGGGACGAATAGATTGTGAGGCTATCCTGAGGCAAATTGACCTAAACGTGCAACCCCGACCACTCCGTAACAACCTCATGCTGAGACAGCCACTGCGTCGCACGAACTACGGGGCATATGGTGCGATTTGCGGACTACAGCGTGTGTTCAACAGAGTCGCATCTGTATTCGACTTTCACCTCACACGTGATGCGCTTCGTCGGAGATTCTCATCTGTTTTCGCCGGCCGCAGTGACTGACAGAGAAAATTAGTGTATTTCCATTTATGATTTTTACATTCTGACCATGTTGCTTTGTTTTTCTTTCTGTGATTATTTGACATGTAATTTTACTATTATTATTATTATTATGATTAGTATTATTAACCGGGATGTTACGGATGTGTGAAGGAAACTGCAACCATTTCGATATAAATCTACTATCCTGGATCTCGAATTTGGCTCTGGGACACGTTCGAAGTATACACAATTTGGCTATGAAAATTCACTCAAAACTTAACAGGATTTTATTCGATTGTTCTTAAACATTTCCGTTCACAGAGTTCTGTTCAGAATTTTTCTCAACTTTTTTTAATTCTCTCTGGGAATCCCTTGAAAATTTCTGAACGACGCTCCAAAAAATTCTTGAAATTCATCCATAGATTCGCTTTAATTCTCGAAATTCTCCGCAGAATTCCCACGAAATTCACCTAAGAATTCTCGACCAACAATTGAAAAGGGCCTATTAGCTTTTGAGAGCAAAACTTGTACGACGGAGACTCGCTCGTTGGGGGCTCGTTAGTTGGGGTGCTCGTTAGCTGGGTGTTCGCTAGTTGGGCCATGACTCAATTGAAAAGCATCTGGATGTCAACATCTCATGTCAAATTAGATTTGACAACCAAACATAAATTCCTCTTAGGGGTAAACGCCTGGGCGAAAAGCCCTACGTTGGCGGAACGAGGATACCAAATGTGCAGTGAAAGCGCGACGCAAAGCTTTACGCCGGGTTAAACGTCTCGCCTTAGACGACCCTGGTAGGGAGGAAGCGCTGAAGTTTTACCGAGAACGCCATCTCTCGTGCAGACAGGTGATCCGTGACGCAGATCGCTTTGCTGGATGGATTTCCTGGATTGAGTCGACGAATCCAAATGGTGAGTGAATTGTGGAATCGCGTCAACGCTCAGAGTGGCAAGCGGCGGTCTACTCCACCTACTATCCAAGCTCATGGCACCTCGATCTCAGAACCGAAGGACATCGCCGACGAATTAGGACAATATTTTGCCGGCCTGTCTGCTGTCAGTGGCTACGACAGCGATTTCGTCCAGCGCATCAAACCTTCCACAAGCAGCATTCGCGACTTGCGAATTCCACCCGATGTTCCTGCTCTCCAGATCAACGAAGCTGTTACCTTCCGGGAGCTTCAGTTTGCCCTCGGCAGCAGTAGTGGTAAATCTGCCGGGCCGGACGAGATTGGATAACCGGTGTTAAAAAACCTCTCCCTCGACGGAAAACGAGGCTACTCGCCCTCTTCAACGATCTATGGCTCACTGACTCGTATCCGGACCTCTGGAAACAAAGCTTGGTAGTGTCCATTCCGAAGAACAACACGGCGAGTGAAGAAGCCTCCTCCTTTAGGCCGATTGCGCTCACTTGCTGCGCGGCAAAAGTGATGGAGAGAATGGTAAATCGTCGTCTTAGGCAGCTCCTGGAGTCAAACGGCCTCCTTGACAAACGGCAGCATGCGTTCCGGCAAGGACTCGGCTCCTCCACTTACTTTGCAGCCCTCGGGAAAGTACTTAAGGAAGCCCAGGACAACGGTCGCCATGCGGAGTTAGTCTCCCTTGATATTTCAAAGGCGTTCAACAGGACATGGACACCTGGTGTCATCAGGCAGCTCATCGGCTGGGGCCTGGAAAGTCACATCACGCATTTTGTACGGAATTTCCTCCTTGATCGTACCTTCCAGGTGACTGTCGGGAACACTCTCTCAGACTGAAGGGACAGATGGATAATTTTCAAATAAACCTGCTATTGTACCAGACCAGGAGGCTGGCAACCCCATTCCGAGCAAAGTCTGAGATCAAATTGAAATCTAAATTAATGATGTTGCGATTTCGCTGGTTGCTGTCGTTTTGGTCGTTTTAACGGTTAAAATATCACAATTGAGAGCAAACAAATCTTCCTGTGACATCACATTGAAAACTCAGTGAGAGCAAACTGAAAACTCGATTTGATATCCTTTTTATCCTGTTGATAACAAAACAAGTATTCAATTTGATGTTATGCTAAGGCAATGAAAACAAACCCACAACAACATATTTCTGAAGAGATTACGTACAGTAAATGTACAGCAAAATGAAAACAAAATTAGGTATCAAATTTGTCAATTGCTTGAACTTAAATCAAATTATGATTTCAGTTTGATGTTGATTGACAAATCCATGTTTCAATCGACCACAATCGATAAGTTCGTGATAAGTTCGAAATAATGTGTCAAACTGAATACATTTTTGAAATTTCAACCAAAAAACTATTATTTTCTATTTATTCCAGCGAGTTTCTGTGGAAGTCAAAACATGATCCGAGCAAAAAAGTAGTACTCGTAATAATGGTATATAATGCTGAATTTTATCGTGCTTTGTTTCGAAAATATCTTCCAAATAAACAAACCTCATCCAAATCACCCGAATCGTCCACCGACTAAGGCCGCGGCCAGGGTAGACGCGTTTCGCGACGCGACGCGACCAATTCAAAAGAATCTTATTATTTATTATTATTCCTTGCATGAGTCGCATCGCGTCGCGTCGCGTGTCGCGTCTACCCTGGCCGTGGCCTAAATCTATTGTCACTTAAAAATTAATTTCAGTCGGTGTATTAATAATTAATCAGCAGATTAAATCGTTTTTCGTCTGGTGCTACACCGAGCAATCGGCCTATTTAATAGTTTTTCGTCGATTGATTTAGTCGGCCAACTTTGTCTGTTGTTTAATCGGCAGATGATTTCAAACCTTAACATGTTTTCAGTAATTTATAAGTCTTGAAGTAGCTTTTTATTTAAGAACAATGCATTACAAAATAGTTTTATGCATTTTGTACAAGATTCATCCATGCTGACAAGAAATTTTCATGAAATTACATTGAAATTAAATAATTTTGCAAACAATCAATTAAATTTTCAAGGGCTGTCACAGACTTATCACCGTCGGTTAGTGCTTATTCCTGCCACCAGGCGCGCATGAGTTTAAGTTGGATTTCTCAATATCAAAACTTGATTTCAATTTGCTGTCATTTTGATGCTGGACTTTGCTCGGGATATCAATCCTATACGTTTGACAGTAGGCAACCCTAATAAAAAATACCATAAATGAACGATAACCCAAATGATGGAACTATTCCACAAATGGTTTGGATGATACCCCGAACACGTCGTTAAGCAAATTAACCATAACATTTTTATTAGGGAAGATTACGGGCTTTATTTAAATACGGCCCGCCTGACGTATACATGGTGAAAAAGGACAACAAATCGTGTTGTAAGCAGAGAGACAAGAGCAGATGATAGCATCAAAAACATGGCCGCCACCTTCTCAACAATCGGAAGATCAACAAAAGAGGGATTTTCGAACATTAGGCATAATTTATCTTCGAAGCGTCAAATTTAAGTGAAAACAAAAGAACACAGCCTAAGGCTTCTTCTTCTTCTTCATTCCTTTATTTAACGTCGGTCTCTGTTCCGCAATCTAGTGCCAATCACCGATGGACATCGATTGCCATCCATTGACGGCAATCGAATGTGCAGGAAGGCAGCTTCCACACCTGCGTAGAATATCGCACCCATTCAAACACACATGGGCCGGGACCAACGGCTTTACTTCCCTTCCGAAGGAAGACGTGACCAGAGATTTTTATGCCTCAGAAAAATCACACCGACCTCGGCTGGGATTGAACCCAGACCCATTGGGGTGTGAGAAAGCAGTCACGCTTACCACTACACCACCGGCGCCGGCCAGCCTAAGGCTGTGAACCATTTGCCGAGTTAAATTTAACTCGTGGTTAAAAGTGACATTTCTTGACTTCATGACTGTGCTTGTCGATCGACCGGTTTTCGAGAAGAACAACTTAGCCAAGGTGGTCAAAATTTAACTTCTTGTCTGTCAAAAGTAACCACGCTTGGATAGCAGGGTTAATCGATAACTTTCTATCTGTAAAATTTTAACCAAAAGTTAAAATAATCCACCAAATGGTTCAGAGCCTAAATAATCTTAAAATGATTCATAAATAATTTAAGAGGTTGCCCGGGTGACTATCTTAGCCCTAGTTTCCCGACTTGCTGCGCCAATCACGGCTGTCATCAACAACATAATAAAACAAAACTGAAAACAAATTTGACATTATTTGATATTGTTTATTAATTATGACCTTAGTCTTTTACGTTTTCAACCAACTTTTTTGTATTGTACCGATGATACAACATCTAACACATAGGGACCGTACACTTATTACGTCAGATTTTTCTGTTTCGCCGCCATAGTAAGATCTTACGTCGAACATTAACATGTTCTGTATTATTAATTTTATTCTTCACGTACACTTTAAATTTGTCTGAGAATTCCTCCTTCCCATGTAAGAAAACGTAGGAAGATGTCCCTTCCAAATCTTACGTAATAATTGCATGGTCCCATAAACCCCGCCGCTTCCGTCGTGGCCTGCAGTATGGTAACTAGCAATCATCAGATTATAGATTCTATAGTATTGATTACTAATTTCCAAGAAAACAGCCCGAGCGGAGTGGCCCATGGACCAATTCGATCCATGCTGATGTTGATATTGCGCTTGAGATCCGACGATTGAACGTCACACATTGCACACACACAAAATTTAATTCTACGGACATACGGTAGACAGAGGAATTTAATATTACTTTAATATAGTTTGATTAAGAATATCAATTTTTGGCAATCGAGAAATTGTCCTACTGCGCTTCGGCAGCAGCAAGATTCCGGTAGTTAATGTGCTCCTGTTTGGCAATGGCCAGCATGCGCTTGACGGTGTCGTCTACACCGCTGTAGTTGATGATGCCTAAACAACTTACCGGAACCTTTTTCATCAGGTGGAAACCCAACTTGCGACGTTTGATTGTGAACACATACGGCACCCGGTTCTGGCGGCAGATGGACTTGACGCGCTCCACCAGCTGGTCGATACTGTCGTTGGACTCCAGGTCCGGTGCGATCAGGACCAGCTTTATTTTGCGCGTTTCCAGATGTTTGAGTACTTCATTGAAACCGACGCAGTAGCGCTTGTGGCTGACCGCTTTGATCGGATTTTTGCCGTACGCACTCGCCTGGAATTGGAACAACTTCGTGACTATATTCTCTGCTAAATCACGCAATTCGTCCGTGATGAGATGATCACAGTATCTGCAACATAAAGCAATATAATTGAAATTGTTTTCTAAAAAAAAAATAGGTTCTTCTATTTGTTTTCCCAACTTACGATCTGAACACCCTGCCATGTTGATTTTTATCAGAGCTAGCCTTTACGGTATCGTTCAATGCCGGAAATCCGTTCTGATACTCCTCCGAACCGACTGCCGGTGGAAGGGCATTCTCATTCGTGCAGCAGCGTTCGATAGCTTTTAAAAACGGCGAGACGCTCAACTTAGGCTCATAAGCTTGCAATTGTTCACTGCATGGTGGCCCTTCAACCTTATGACCATTTGCTTCGCCCGTCTCATCCGGTTCCACTTCCACATGCTGCTGATCCAACTGCTCACCGACTCCGTCCTCCTGCTTGACTCTACGATTGTTGATAACTTCCTTCTTCAGCTTTGAAAGTTTCTTCTCCTTGGGAACCTCTCGCTGCTTACCCTTGAACAGTAGTATCGGTTGGGTTATAACAATCGGAACGACCGGTTTGACCAGCGTCTTGATCTCTCCCCCGCCATAATTCTCGCCCTTCTCCACCAACGACAATCGATCCCGTATACAATCGGACAAATTAATCTGCACTGTATCGCTTGGGGTCTTCTTGGACCGTTTCTTCGTCTTCAGGGTCGGGCCCGGTGGAAGCGCTTGAGCATTGTTGTACTTCTCCAGGAAGCTCTCGTCGATCATCTGAATCTTCTGGCTCTTCGGGCCACGGATCTTCTTCAGTTGCTCTTCATACCGCTTGGCTTGCTTCTTTTGCTTTTCCGCTTCCTTGCGGGCCTTTCGGGCTGAGGATTTTTCCAGATCTGACAATGGCAGGTGGGTGGAACCAGCGCCCACCGCCAAGGCCGGAAACTCACTGTCCATGTGATGGTTCATTGTGACCAGTTCAACGCGTACCTTTCCCGGAATGGACCGGTAATTTCAACTAGGACATTTTGGTCGCGAATATGAGGTATATTTTACTATATTCCACTTCAGACTAGATGTTACTTTGTTCTTCTGGCTGCTGCATCTGCACTATGGATAGTAAACAAATCGATTGATTTTTTCCATTTTTGCGATTTTGATTTGACTACCCGTCCGTCAAATGACAGATTGCCAGCACCGACACAAAAAGGCATTTTTTTTTTATTTAATATTACACGCTAGTTTGAAAATACCCATTTTGAAGAAAACTGGCTCAACTCATTCACGGATACGAATTTTGTTCATTTAAATCAAAAATATAAATTTATTTATTTATTTATTTATTTCGTCAACCAACGTAGACTAGTACAACTAATACAGTTTTGTTTTCTTAAATATATATTTATATAAAAAAAAGTAGTGTCAGCTTTCTTGTCTTTTCTTTTATGAGTTGTTATTTCTTATGGAATAAAAATATTGCTTTAGTTTATGCCGAGACATTGTAAAGTCAATGGTTTCGCAGTGTTTATTGTAAGAGGCCATCATGCGGTTTAATGGCCCATATTTTGCATAATTTGTGCGATGTTTTATGGCAAATACATTTCGATTTCGGAGTTGCCGAGTGGGTGCATGGAAATTTAATTTTGATAAAAGTTCTGTTGAGTCAATCGCTGCGAAACGATATCATTTACAAATGAAACCATTGCATATTCACGACGCTCTTTTAATGTTTGTATGTTTATAAGCATGCAGCGTGCTTCATATGATGGAAGAGGAAATGAAGTCCAACCTAATTTACGAAGAGCGTATAATAGAAATTGTTTTTGTACTGATTCTAATCTTTCTTCGTGCGTGATTGAAAATGGAGACCATACAATGCTGCAATATTCTAGTATTGACCTCACATAGGCAATATATAGTGTTTTAATTGTGTATGGGTCCTGAAAGTTATAGCAAAAGCGCTTGATAAAGCCTAGCATGTTATTTGCCCTGTGAATAATTGTATTGTAATGGTCTATGAAAGTTAGCTTAGAGTCTAAGATAATTCCTAAAGGGTGATACGGTCAAAATTTGGTCAAGGGAAAACGCGTGTAAATCCGTGAAATCGTTTATTTAAAAAATCAAATTAAATTTCTTTTTCAAGTTCAATTAGTATAAAATTCAGGAAAAATATTCAGTTAGGCTTCCGCTTTTCCAAATCCGAATTGCCGGGCCTTACGCTTGACCCCTGCCATCAGATTTTGTACAGCCACCTTGTCCACCTTCTTCGCCGCAGAAAGCCAGTTTGCCTTGAACTGCTGCTCGCCCTTAGCAGTTTTTTTGGTCTTCTTTAGGTTCCGCTTGACAATAGCCCAGTATTTCTCAATTGGGCGGAGCTCTGGCGTGTTGGGAGGGTTCTTGTCCTTGGGAACCACCTGCACGTTGTTGGCGGCGTACCACTCCATGGCCTTTTTACCGTAATGGCAAGATGCCAAATCCGGCCAAAACAGTACGGAACAACCGTGTTTCTTTAGGAAAGGCAGCAGACGTTTATTCAAACACTCTTTCACGTAAATTTCTTGGTTGACAGTCCCGGAAGCTATGAAAATGCTGCTTTTCAAGCCACAGGTACAGATGGCTTGCCAAACCAGATATTTCTTTGCGAACTTTGACAGTTTCATGTGCTTGAAAACATCTGCTACCTTTTCCCTTCCTTTTGCCGTATAAAACTCCTGTCCCGGAAGCTACTTGTAGTCGGCTTTGACGTAGGTTTCGTCGTCCATTACCACGCAGTCAAACTTCGTCAGCATCGTCGTGTACAGCCTCCGGGATCGCGCTTTGGCCGTCGTATTTTGTTTATCATCGCGATTTGGAGTCACTACCTTCTTGTAAGTCGATAGTCCGGCTCGTTTTTTGGCTCGATGCACGGTTGTAGACGATACACCCAGCTTATTTGCGGCATCTCGGAGAGAGAGGTTAGGGTTTCGCTTGAAACTACCGGCAACTCTCTTTGTCGTCTCAGCGGCTTCCGGTTTTCGATTTCCCCCCGATCCAGACTTCCTGGCTGTCGACAAACGTTCCCCAAACACTTTAATTACATTTGTAACGGTTGATTTGGCAACTTTTAGCGATTTTGCCAACTTTGCGTGCGAGTAGCTCGGATTTTCGCGATGCGCGAGCAAAATTTTGATACGCTGCTCTTCTTGCTTGGACGGCATTTTGACAACTGAAGAGTGAATTCCAAAATCAAAATAGGAGCAACATTCTACACACACACACCTTCAAAATGAGGGGTGTTCAGGTTTTTTAAATGCAAAATTGAAAGAAATACGTCAAGTTGATATTGACCAAATTTTGACCGTATCACCCTTTAAATCCCTAACTCTTTCACATTTGTCTACAGTTTGATTTCCTAATGCAATTGAAATGTTTGAAGTTGTTCTTTTTCTACTAAATGATATTAAGTTACATTTTTTACATTCAATTCTAGTAGACTTTTTTTTGCACCATATGTAGAATATGTGTATTTCATTCCGGAATATATTGATGTCTTCTTCATTTCTTAATTCCAAAAAGAGCTTCATGTCGTCGGCATAAATAAGCAATTTAAGTTTTTTGAGAATGTAAGATATGTCGTTTACGTATAGAATAAAAAGGAGAGGTCCCAAATGAGAGCCTTGGGGGACGCCTGAAGTGACTTGAATTGGGCTCGATTTCTTTCCGTTGAATTTAATTATTTGTTGGCGGTTAGTTAAATATGATTCAAGCCATTTCAGGAGCCCTGACTTAATTCCATTTTTTTGCAGTTTAAAGAGTAACATTGGTATGTCAATGCGGTCAAATGCCTTGCTAAAGTTTGTATAGAGAGCTTCTACGTGATTTCCATTATCCATTGCATTCAATGAATAGTCTATAAATTCAAGTAAGTTGGTCGAGGTCGAACGACCCTTGAAAAAGCCGTGTTGCATGTCAGTAATTCTATTTTTGATTTGGAGAAATAATTTTTCGTTGATAATTGACTCGAAAAGCTTAGGAATGCAAGAGATAATGGCTATACCACGATAATTACGTACGTCAGATTTTTGACCAGATTTAAAGATAGGTACTAGAAATGAGCTTTTCCAAATTTTAGGGAAGGTTCCGGATTCCAGGGACATATTAAAAAGCCAAAACAATGGAGCAGTGAGTTCCATTGCTAGACATTTAATAAATACTGGAGGAATTCCGTCAGGTCCAGGACCTTTTGAGGCATCTAAATTTTTTAAAGCCTGCAAAATGTCCTGCACTTGAAGTTGATTGAGGCCTATGTCCCTTGAAAATTCTATATAAAATGCAAAATAATCCCGGTCACGATCTTCTTCAGAAAATGTCGTATAGATTTCTTGAAAAAAATTTGCAAATAGATTGCAGTTTTTTTCCGAACTATCACCAACATTTTCGTCTAGATGCATTATTGAAGGAAAATTGTCAGATTTTAATTTCGTTTTTACGTAATTAAAGAAGTTCTTCGGACAGGACTTTATTTCACGTTCAGTTTTTGCATTATATTCTTCAAATGCAGTACTGATAGCTAAATTCAGTTGATCGCATAGATCCAAATAAATTAATAAATTATTACTACTATTGTGTTTTTTTTATAAATTTTATGTGCTTTTAGCTTCCGATTTTTCAAGTTTTTTATTTGTCTGTTAAACCAGACTGGATTTTGTGTGTTTCTGTTACGTCTTTTTTTCTTCAATGGTATTTCTTCCGAAATTATTTCTATTAAAATTTTTTAGAACACGTCTATACCAATTTCGACATTTCCTACATTCCTTAAAATTAATTGCCAATTGACACTGTTTAATTTAAATTTTATTTTTTCGTTTGTCTCATTATAGTATTTTCGTTAAATGTTTATACTCTAACCATATGAATTATTCAAAGTAAATTGAAAACATGTTTAAAACTAAAATATGCATGTTTGAATTAAATTCAAAAGCATGTTTATTTCAACAATATAGATATGATCGTATTTGACAACATCCTTCACCAACGTTGTACACGAAAAGAATTCAGGGCCAACATTTCAAAGCGGCGTAATTGCATTTGTAAACAATGGCTTTACCCGTTGATTTCTCGCGAATAAAAGCTCACTCATGAAAAATAATGACACCAACTGGTAGAGGAATGTTTCCTCTACTAGCTAGCATTAATTTGGAGGGGCGCGCTTTTAGTTACGAGAAATCGACGACTAAAGCCATTGTTTACAAAAGCTATTACGCCCCTTTGAAATGTTGGCACTGAATTATTCATTTTGAATGTATTAAGCAAACCACATAGATTTTTGTCATTGCCATACAATCATGAAAGGCATAGAGATAAGAAATTAAACATATGTGGAAACTCTTAACGATCCTATGAAGGGCGCTGAAATGAAAAGTAGGGGAAATGTCTCTAATGTTGGCCTATGAATCTTATATTGGGCCCATCGCTAAAAATCTGCTATTTATCAATGTTATCTAGATGAACGCGTTATTGGGACGTTACTAATGGATATTTTTGGTTGCTATTGAAAATTTAGTCGATTGCTGAATTTATGTATGGGCCCAAATTAGGGACACTTATAGTACGTTCAGACTACAGAGTTATAACATGTTATAGCGCTATCTTGATGCTGGTTTCTGTGTTGGAATTAGTTGACAACCGTTATAACATGTTTTAACTCTCCAGTCTGGACAGCGTTTTAGGCTGACATTACCTGCATTTCCCCTATAAGGCTGATTTAAACTTTTTATGTAGTGTGAAGCATAATAATCATTGAAAGTAATATAGTATTGATGAGGTCCCTTTTCAATCTTGTTTACATTCATGATTGAATAGAAAAAGCAAAAACTGCACGGTAATACATAATACCTAATATGAATAGCATAAAATAAGGCATAAACACTTTATACGAAATCCGAATGATTCGATTCTCAAGACCAACCTTTCACGCATGTATCTGGAAAATATAGTATTGAATCTGTAACTGATTATTCGTCATTGCAGGGTAATTGGAGATGTTACCGGAAATTTCCTGCCGTTATCTCTTCTGCTGCTCCTTCTGAATAGCATCAACGGCTGTCGTTTCGAATATTCAGATCTC